ATCTGAACAACAAATTATTGAGTTTAAAATTTTACTTACCAGATTGCATTTGAAAATTGTAATAAGTAATAAACATATATCATAAGTAATAATTGATAATAATATGTAAGTTTAAGTATTGGGTAAAAAAATAAGTAATTATACTTATATTATTACCTTGCCTATCTCTAGACAACACTGAATGGTAAAAGTTGGATCTATTTTCTATTTTAATTTATTCTTTTTTTTAATTTACTATTTATATGTTGTATTTACTATTTATAGTTAGATTAGAGTTATATTTAAAGCAGATCTACTGAATAATTGATTGTGGGAGCAATTAATTTCTCAGTAGACCTAATTTAAATTTTCTATCATATATTTATGTTTTTTTTTTTTGTTTTTTTTTAGAATGTGTAACCTTTATGAAATGAAATATACATCAATTAATACTACTAGTAATGACTTATTGAATATTGACAATATTGCACAATCAACTACTCGATCAATGCTAGATGCAGACTTTGATGATAATGATGAAGAGTTGGATGAAATTGAATGTTACATTTCAGAAAAACTAGCAAACAAAGAAATTGACGTATTGGCATGGTGAAAGGTATGATTATAAATATAGCAATATAAGGTCTTTGCCTTGAAAATGACTTTATGATATATAGTAATCACTGATTACTATATATTATAAAATCATTTTCAAGGCAAAGACCCACATACCTTGTTAATAAATTAATTTAATATACAGTATTTACATAGGCACATCAAATCCAGTATCCTCGCCTGTCTTGTATAGCTCATGACTATCTAGCAATTTCCACAAGTTCTGTTGCTTCCGAATATTTTTTTTCTTCTAGTAGAAATATGATTGCTAAAAACAGATGTAATTTGGCACCTAAAACTGTGAAAGCAGCACAATGTCTTCGATCATGGATGCAGGGACTATTGAAAGGAAAAATTTGAAGTTATAACTTCAAATTGTTTTTTTTTTTTTTTTTAAAAAAAAAAAAAAGTATATACTGTATTACTTACTTTATCTAATAAAAATTAATAGAGTTTACTACCTATAACATAAGACTCAATACACTAAATTTTTTTTAAAAAACTAATTTATTATATAATTATTTGGCCTACTAAGTGTTGCCAAATTAAACTTTGAAACTGAATATATATCTTATATATTCAGTTGTAAAATTTAATTTGCAGCACTTATGAGATTTTTGCTAACTAAATAATCCTTCGGAATTAGTCCCAAAGGGCTATTTAATTAGCAAAAATCTCATATAATTTTGTACTCATCCGCTAATAATTTAATTTATATAATCTATTTAGAGAAATTTAATTATATATTATAAATTTCAATTTACAAAATATTTCTTTACTCGCTAATAATTTAATTCATGCAATTGATTAGATAAGTTTTATTGAATTATCTTTTACACCGTCTTATAGGTAAATTTTTCTGAAATTACTAGACAGTATAAGGGATAAGTAAATTTCATATAATAGATATTCAAATCTGAACATGTTCGTGAACTTTTGAACCAAACTTCAGACTGAACCAGACCTGCCTAAAAAGTTTGGAATCAAACTCAGACTGAATATTGGTTTTAAAAAAGTTCGAGTCTGGGTTTGGTTCAAAAACTGAACCGAACTCGAACTTGCCCAAAAGTTTAGTCTGGTCCAGTCCATAGAGTCACTAATTGTTAGTATCAACTTCTTAAATATCATTAAGGGTATGAACAGAATTTTTATGTATATATTGTTATTTATCTTTATATATGTTCAAATTATGATCAGGTAAACTTATTATACTACTTTTAGAACTATTGTTATATGATTTATTATTTGATATTGTTTTTAGTAGATATCTACATTGCTTCTAAACAAAGAAATCTGAAGTATACAAATTTCTATTATTTGTATTTTTATATACCAATATATTTAAATTAGAATTAGTAGCTTTGTAATTTATTTCTCATATAGTTAGTCACTTTAAGTAGTTTTTCTAAGTAGTAGTATAAAAAAAATAAATTTTATTATTCTGTCAATTTTGATTTTAGTGATCATCAAAAAGAGTTTTTTTTTTGTATAGATTTATTTATATTATATTCAAAAAATATAAAAACTTTAATATATTTTATCTTTTTTTTTTGTTATTAAGGAGTACTTAATTATATCAGTGCTTACTCAGATGACTTGAGATTCATAACTATAACATACGAAAGTTTATAGCCTGGTATCTACTCAAGCTGTAGATTTAAATTATACAAATTTTACATATTAATTTAATGATAATGCAAATGAATTTTTATCATCACTATAATATACTTGAATGATGATATAAACATGAATCAATCATTATTTACATAATAACAATCTAGCTGTACTAATTATTTATTTAGTAGAGTATTTGTATTATTAATTAAATATTTTCTACTCTGATAGTAGAATTAGACATCCCATGAATTATACAGTTACACCTCCCTAAGTACACACCCCTTATTAAGTGCAAGTACTATGTAAAACCTCTTTAAATGCACGATATAGTTTGGCCCTAACTTATAATAACCTTATGTATTTTATTCTCCATAAGTGCAAACCTCCTCTAAGTGCAAAATTTTAATTTTTTTTCTCTATGGTCCCGACAGGATGCACTTAGGGAGGTATGACTGTGCTACTATCACATATTAATCTAACGACATAATCGATCTCAATCGTTAATATAGTAATCATATATTTTAATAATAAATCACGTCATTAACACCAACTCAGTATACGAGGGCCGTTATAGATAGTAGACTATGAACTCGTCGGTGTTGTAAAAATCATTTCAGTTATACGACAGTTCATAGTATATGAATACTAGTAGTAAACTATGAACTGTCAGTGTTATAAAAATCATTTCAGCCGTACGACAGTTCATAATCTAAGTTAAGCCGGTTCATAATATATATATATACTGTATTATGAACCGGCTAAAGCTTTTTGGAACCATAGTTTTAATTAAAGTTGATAATCAATTTGATCGATCACAAACTTGTCTTACTTGGTCGATCACGAACAGGCCAAGAAATCGATTTTATCATCATTGGTGAGATATCTGCATAGGGTTGGATGGATAATTATTTGAATGATCCGAATTTACTGTAACGATAACAGATCGCTAGGAATATTTAAGATCATGACACCTGCGTAGGCATAGAAGAACTTTGTATTTTACAAATGTGAATGGGTTTTTTGTGATGATCCTAGAGATGTGCAAAATGCGCATTTTGTCGATCACCATTAGTCACCATGTACATTATTAATAAGTAAAACATATCTGATATAACGATAATCATGGTGATCGGCAAAATGCGCATTTTGCCCATCTCTGATCCCCAATCAAGGGTTGATCAAAAACTTTCTAGAAAAGATTAGAAAAGTTTTTCTGTTAGAAACATCTATAACGAAAAAAATTTGGCTTCAATTATCAGGTCATGCGTTTTCAATCAAATGGCTATTTAAAATCCGGATTTTTACTACTAAGTTAAATTTGAGTTTAAAACCCGGTTTTTTCAGCCGTGAGTAAATTAAAAATTGGTACAGTATCAGGTATTGCATATTACAAAACTAACTTAGGGACCGGGCAGAAATCAGCTGATTTCTTGGGGGAGGGGGTTATAATCAGGTTCTAGCTTATAAAATCTTATATTATCAGTTAGGTAGGGGGGAAGCCTCTATAGTAAATGAAATCTCTGATTTCTGCCCATTTCTGCCAACCCTGACCTACAACTGTCGGTGAAGTTATTATTTGTGATGTCAATAATATGAAATTGATTGTCTCTGCCTCCCATTAAAAGTGAAGATTGACAGAAATACGATGTGCTGTACAACACCTATCATAATTTAATGTTTCACACCAATTTTTTGTATGTTCGCACTCCTTCAATTAAGAGTTGCAGAAAAAAATTAAGAGGAGAAAAGTGAACGATAGAACAGCACTCACCTAATAAAAATAAAATGGTTTTTTTATCCAACGATTTTATTCGATATATCTTACATTATATAAATTATTTATGGATAAAAAGATTTAAATTGGTTATTTTTTTGGCATTGTGCGTATTCATTTTCATAACATTTTGGAATTATGATTTAGTGATAAATGAATATAGTGTGAGTACATATATAGATTTTAATTTACTTAACATTAATTATTAATATATATATGCATATTTTAGGAAATAAATTTTGCATATGCCAAGAGACCAATTTTAAAAGAAGTAGTTGAAAAAAAAGCAATTTTTGATCTTTTTGCCACGATAAACAATGATACAAAAGTTTATGACATATCCAAAGATTTAAGCAAAGATGTTTCGAATTACATAGATTATGAAACAAAAATCAACATAAAATATTGTGGATCAAATACGTGTAGGTTTTTATTCTTTTATCGAGCTCCCGAACAAGAGACACGTGCAAATTTTCATTTCCATACAATGGTTGGGCTAGCTAATAAACTTAATCGTACTATGGTCTTAACAAATGTTGGATTTTCGAGGATAGGATCTTGTCTTCATTTGCCTTTTAATTTTTATTACAGTGTGAGTGTACTACAAAAAAGATTTCCAAATGTGAAATTCATATCGCAAGCACATTTTCAACAATGGACTTACGAACGTCGCAACAAACCGAATGTATCACATATATACATTAATACCAAACCAACAAATAATCCATACAGCTTTGAATTTGTCGAACCTTCTATAGAATTATTATTAAACAAACAGTGCTTTGATCAATTCAATTTAAAAATGGATGATACCATGATTTTCAAGAGTGTCAATATTGGACCGAGAACCAGTTGGGATACAAACAACTCCAATATTATTATGTTAAATTATTTGACCTCACAATTAAATATAAACTATGAAGTCTTATTGATAAATCATGACCTTCGATATAGTTTATTTATAAATGAAAAAGGAGTTCCACCAGTGACATATGCCAATCATCTTATTAGAGCTGCTAATAAAGTGTCAAAAGAGTTAGATTCTTATATAGGGATTCATTGGCGTATGGAAACGAACGTAACCAAGTCATTGACTAAATGCGCAAATAAGCTTGTGAAATGGATTAATCGAATACAAAATACTACCAACATAACTAATGTTTATTTTGCTACGGACTATCCGATTGATAACACAAAAAAAGCACAATCTTCCACATTTCATGATGTAACGGAACAACATCACAAAGCGGTGGCAATTTTGAATTCTTCAATACATTTTAATACTTGGAAATCTATAAACTCTTTAGAATACCTTGAAGAACTTTCAGAATTGAGTGAAATACTTCAAACAGAGTTCAGAGGGGCAGGAGTACAAGGAATTATAGATAAATTAATCTTAATTTATTCAAATTATTTTGTTACTGGACCGAAAGGATGTTGTAGACTTCGTAGCTCGTTTACTGGAACTGTTATTCAAGCGAGAATGGCATTAGAAAAAGCTTGGGATCCGAGAATAAAAAACATTGTATCGCGTTGGTAATTATTTATTATATAAGAGATTTGTACCGTATTATGAGTATTTTGGAAAATATGTAATGTTTTTAATATATATTTATATGGTGCTCCAAGTCACTTCTCATCAAATGCGCCAAATTTTGGGTATATGTAAATGCTTTTTAGCCAATCAGAATGCATACTAATTCTGATTGGATAAAAAATTTCAAAAAATTTTTTTTTTAATTTTTATATTAATTAAACATTTATTCTTTAAACCGTTTTTCAGACAAATTTGTTTGGATTTTTATAAAATATTTATAAATATTAATATAATTTAATAAAATATTAATAATATAGAATCTATATTATATATAGAGTATATTATTATAAACATATTCTATAAACTTTATTAAGAAATTTTCTTATTTTTACTAAGTAGTTTTTGAATAATAAATTTTTAAAGTGTAAAGTAAGTATAGGTATTGTGATGCATTACTAATTATAATATAGTTGTGATATCTCATGACCTGAGAATTGGAATTAGATAATTTTGGTATCATTATAATTCTTTTTATATAGTGCTCTAAAAAGAATTATGTATTATACTATACTATATATTTATAGAAAAAAATTTTTATTAAACAATTATATAAATGTTTATATATATATATTTTTTTTTTTTTTTATATTTCAACCTTTGCAGATTGAGATGAGGTCTTGCCTCTATCTTTATTTGAGTAAAATATAGTTAAGAGTTTACATGAAACTACCTGATAATAAATTATAT